CAGTTTTTCGAAGATTGGAGGGGCTTCATAATTGAATCAAAGCTTAGATCAGAGCGGGAAGAGAATGATTGCTGTTGATTGGATATTTAGTTCGCTGCGACGCCAACTTCAAAACATGTGTCAGTTTGAATGCAGATTACTTCGTCGAGAAAAGTAACCTCCTAAAGAAATCATGCCTGCGACTCCGTGTGCTATATATGCTAACAAGTCTATCCTTAACTTCAAATTGAGGAAAAAAGCTCGAGTCACTTGGGATACTGAGGGCCAATTTCACCAACATTAATTTTCAACAGTCCCTTCAAATGTCAGTGATTTCTATTGAAATGTTGAATAAACTCGTGACAAAACGGTTACTTTATAAATAAGAATACATTATAGATGTAATATTATGTCTTTGTGCTTTAGAGTTAGGATAACTTTCATAGAATTTAAAATTTTTCTCATTTCAAAAAAGACGGTCAGTTATTTGAATGGACTAATGAAAACGCGAGAAATAATAGGTCGATTTTCGGAACGGACTGTTACCCTATAGGTGGAGAATAACGGACTGTTAATTTGACAACCTTGGTGAAATCCACCCTTACTGTAATATTTTTTTATCTTTGCCTTGATGACAGAACAGTTGCATCTTTGGTCTCATGTCTCAAATAAGTTTACTTCTTTGTGCTGGTTGAAAATGCTCAATAGGTACGGTACTAAACAGTCCTCAAATCCCAATCAGCCTCAATATCTGTCCGTCAAATTTTTGATAACACTCAGTATTGAGCTTGAAAAATTCGAGATTGCCATGAACTAACAACCGTCCAAATCTGCTGCCAAATTTAACAGCTAGAAAGTCGACCTATTATTTCTGCCATTCCCATTCGCTGAGGGGATAACGGATTATCAAATGTAAACCTATAACATGTATCAAAATACATGAAAGTTATCCTGTTTTTTCGGTACACAAGCATCATGTAGGAATCAAAAAGTGGTCTTGTTGATAATACAGTCGAATTTTCACGATTTTATTCAATATTTTAATAGAAATCACTGATATTCAGAGACATTTGACAGCTTCTGTCAAATTGCATTTCGATAAGGTATTTTCCCATTGGTCCATAATATTAATGTTGGTGAAATTTGGCCTTAGTGAAGCTTAATTATCTGATTTTCATCTACAAACTAATGCTTACATCTGAACCTATATCGCTTAGAGAAAAGTTAATTCTTAAAGGCGCATTATGACTTCGAAGTTGAGTCATTTATTTTAACAGTGAGTAGATCTGATCAAAAGAATGTTTTGTTTTTTCCTTTACCATTTTTCTGGTAAAATTAAAGTAACAAAGTTATAGCCCTTTGGAAGTTTGAGTACCGCCCTGTCTCAATAATAATATTATGTGCTCGTGTTTGGCGACAACGGATATAATCCGCCTTATCGGTTCATCGCATCGGAAACAAAAAAGCGAAAGAATTTGGAACGATGTTTTTACAATTATTTCATTCAGTTGTATACAGTCAGTGTCAGTCGGTAGTGAATAGTGGTGTAACTGTTGCGTGGCTCAAACGAAATAAAAAATGGCACATGTTTATGCCGATCGGTTTCCCAATCGAGTGCAACCAACCCCTCGTGCCTTTGTTAACGTAGTACAACCGGTTCGTGAATCAGGTGACTTAATACCTCACATATGGACGGCATGCCGGTGCTCCAAGACCTCACTATCAAATACAGGTCCGCACTGAAATACTTGTCGGGAGGATACTTTATAAAACAAGGTAAAATTTTTTTTTATTTTTACACACATATTTTGGTTTATCTTCCTTCTACAATCATTATCTGAAAATTAATGACTCAACTTCAAAGTCACCCTGTAGAACGATCTGGCATGGAAGCCCAATCACTATTCTCTATAATTCAACTTTATTCCGACGCAGTTTCCCATACAATGTTGCTAGTATTGATAACAACATTGATGCTAACTCTAAACTAATTTAGGAAAGATATCAAACGTTTATTATTACCGAGTCCACATACTATGCAGTCATAGCATAATATTGATGACTACTATTTTCCATAAGCAATAAGCATTCTTTTTTCTTTCTTTTAGGAGTGGATTTTGTATTTTTTGTTTGTTTTTCTCAAGCCATCCGATACTGTGGTTAAGGGCCGTATTCTCAGTCGTTCCTACAATTGTAGGACGCCTTTATGACTTCCTTGATTTTCATAGTCTTTTCCCTCCTTAAAAAAGGCTAGGGTATTTCTAGATGTCTACTGTGTCAACGCTTCCCTATTGTGAATGTACGTTTTCTTTTTGAATTGTAGGAAATTTAATGCTGATGAAACAGATGATATAAATCAAAAGCATGAACAATTTGATGAAAATTGATATCTGTGACATAACCTCAAAAGAGATCACTGACACGAAACAGCGGAAAACTACAATTGTAGGAATGACGATACGGCCCTTAGTGTAAGAATAGCCAACTACTAAACTTCGTCAGTGGTATTAGATCTGTATGCACTTGCATGTACTTAATGAAGACAAAGTTGTTATTATTACAGCTATCGTGCCATTCTGTAAGTACAAATTTGAATCTAGTTATTGTTGTCATCTACTTGAAGATAGTTCCCTTGAAACAGTAGCAAAATACAACAATGAATTTAGAAATTTGCTTCAAAGGGAGTTAGAGTGTTTGATTCTGCAAGTTGCAAACGAGAACTCATTTTTCTTATGAAGCGCATTTTAATAACCACTAATAGAGTTGATTTAAACTTGTAGCCAAATTGAATAATTGCAATCAGAAGAGGCACGAAAACGTGTCGGATCGATTAGGTCGTCCGCAACATGTTCGCCGACGCACTTTTATATGCCTTAGCAGAAAGATACGAATTAAATGTAAAATACCAACTGTCAAAATTGCACAAGTGTATACTTTATCTGAAGTCACTTGAAACACTGTGAAATACTGGGTGCGTTTTATATATCTATATTTAACACGCTCTGTTGCTGCAAAAATCGCCAAATTTCGCAGCAAATATCCCCCGTATAAGATCAAAGGCAGTTTCACCGGTCCACGTGGAGTAAAGCACGCCTATGCGTGGACATAGCCAATGAGAAGCGTTGTATTTCAGAGCTCCGAACAAGTGCAGGTGGCTACTGAAAATTGAAACAGTTTAGCCAGTGCCGTGTAGCGGTGAATAAACGTGTTTTCTTTAGTCTGTCCGTGTTTTTTTCATAGATTTTATTAGTTTGTGTGTTTTTGACTTTTGAATACTCAGTTTACTTGTTGATTTAATTGTTGTGTTGATTGTTCTTGTGTGTCCTAAATATGGCTCTTTGGAGACCTTGGGAAAATGCTCCAAGCCACGAGGAGATGGTTGATGAACCTGTGCAGGCAGAATTCTTTCATAAAGATTTAGAGGAACAGACCCAAAGAGTAATCCTAAATATGTATGATTGTCTGAAAAACGAAAATCCAGATTCCTCGCAAAATCAAATTTTAAACAGAATTTGTATCCTGACAAAAATCAGTCGGTCTACCATTTATCGGGTTATAAAAAGGGGAGATGTAGTCAACCATTCCTTCCACAGAAAGCGCATAGGGCAAAAATTAAAAGAATAGACGTGGGTTTTCAGAAAGATATTCGTCGTATAATATACGGCTTTTCTACGAAAATTTGGTGCCCACGTTTGAAATGATACGGATAAATTAAAAAGATTATCCTGAAGATTTTTATAATTACAAATTGCTTAGACTCACTGCACTGTATTGTAAAACTGTGTGGTTTTCCATACAAAAAATTAGATAAAAGAATGTGATTATGGAGTCGTCTCGAATCGTTGAATGCGCCAAGAATTTTTGCACAAAGTTAAAATCTATAGAGAGCATTTTAAATGCACCATGCAACCATGGAAACCAATCATTATTCTCCATGCTGGCAGTGAAAATGGATTTATACCTAATGCCTTGCTGTTATCTGCCAAAATATCAAAGAATCATGTGCCGACTATCATGAGGACATGACCTCCGACTTATTTGAAAAGTGGATAGAGCAGCAGTTAATACCAAACATTTCCCCAAATTCAGTGATTATTATGGACAATGCGCCATACCATTCCCGACAGAAAAAACAAATTCCGAATACAGGCACAAAAAAACAAGACATTATTGATTTTATGAAGGATAAGGGAATGGAAATACCACAAAAATCAACCAAAGCCATATTATTGGATCTTATTAAAAGACAAAAATTTGAAAAGAGTATGTTGTTGACAATCTGCTTCAGCAAAATGACCATGAAGTATTACGTCTACCTCCCTATTACTGCATTTTTAACCCGATTG